GCATAATCGTTTACCTTGTACGATTGTGCTGAATGAGCGAGTCATATGTACTTGTACATATGATTGGACATGGTATCTACCTAGCATGACACTCACGTATGAATATCCTTTGGTGTCCGATCTGATAGCTCAAACCTCGATAGAGCAGTCACATAGGGATTAGCCTCTTAGCATATCATTCATGGTCACTCATACCTCAATAGAGTGATCACGGTATTCCAAGTCGCTTCACATTTTACATGTGCATTTACCTAGGCTGTCTTGATGGCAAATCAACATTAATAGGTGAATGACCTATTGGTTGCGGTGCCTTAATAAGCATTGCTCGCGAGAATACCACAATGAGCAATTCGAATTATTGCATCTTGATCAGCATGTGTAGATTTTTGCTAAGATTCCAAGACATTAACATGTGCCACTTAGACTTTCTTTCCTTTGGACTTATTTTAAAAATATAAAAAATATATTTTTATTATTAATATTAATCATGGTTTAAAATTTACTTTTGAAACTAATACATCTATAGCTCAGACCATTTGTAAGGTCAATTTTTTAAAAGCTTTTACGTGCATAAATTCTTCATATTTAGTGGCATGTATTAGAATTTTTGGCTCTTCAGGATGAGGCCGGGACAACAACTCTATCAAAAACATACGCCAACCTTAGCCACACTTTTGCACACATTTAAATGTATGTGTTAGGATACCTTGTTTTAAATACTTGCTAGAATATGGTAGGGTATAGTTATGTTTTTCACATGTCCTGACTATTGTTCTTTGGTTTGCACCATAGCCAAACACTTTTGTGTGATGTCTTTGTGTGTTTACAGAGTTTGAGATATGCACACTAGTATATTAGGACGATCTTTTTGCAGAGAGCTATTTTCAATATGGAGCAGTAATGATTTGAGCTGACTCATTTATGCAGGTGCCGCCTAGCTCTCCTCCCGCCAAGAATGGTTAACTATGTTGAATGTAGATATTTTCATGCTAACCCTCTCACTACAGGTTGACACTTTTCTTTGGAATTTATTACGTATTTATGTTTATAATCCCTAGGATCGAGTCTGCATTAGAAATAAGTTACGGACATTGATTTCGAAGCGCTTGATGCATGAAAACACGTGGACTAGTGGTCTGTCCCGCACCATAATTCTGAACTGATATTGATGTATAACATTTGGATCAGACATGTATATACGGAGTTTGACCACCTTTATTTTTGTTTTTCAGAGATGTTGACCCAACCGCATCCGATCTCTTCATTATTTATTCATTTGGTATGTTTCTTTCATGTTGAGTGTTGCTATTTTCAATTTCTTAGGTTGTTGTTTGTCTGGAAAGCTCCTTGAACATAATAATTAGGTTCTTTAGGACTTAAAATATCTTTTTCTAAAAAAAATCATAATAATAAAGATTAAGACTAATCAAAATTTAGAATTAAAATATCACAATTTTAAATCTGCATTTACCTTTCTGCATGACCTTTGGGCAGTTTAAAAAGAACTCGCATGCATGGGCTTCACTCAAGTTATATTTAATATGGCATCCACATTAGGGTTTGATTGGACAATTACATCATTCTGCATATCCCGAGAAAGAGACCTCGTGCTTCTTCAACCCGACTGGCCAAACATAAGAGTTTTTTTTTACGGGTGGTTGTCTAAAGCTCTTAGGATGTAAGTCGTTCGTAAGGTGGTTTTGGCTTTGTAGTCGGGCTTCTATTTTCTTTTCTTTCCGGAAGCATTCTCACTGTTTTCTTGATGGGTATAAGTTTCACTTCTGTGAATTCCACCCATATAAGGTCATATGAATTAAATGTTTCTTTCCTTCGACTTTAGGGCTACCAGAGTTCCTTGAATAACACAACACATAGGTTGCTAATAAGAGTCTCAGGTTAGGCTAGGTTGACTACCTTCACGACCAAGTAGACCTAAGGTCTTAATAGCTTAGGATGACGTATCCATGAAATATTGGCCCATATACGACTAAGATTTAAAACCTTTTCATTGATAAACCCCTTTAAACCCATTCGATCCTTTAATACCTCATTAATGTCGTTTCGTGGCCCTGATTGCTGAGATGCCTTACCCTCTGCTCTTATGATCTGGTTGGCTTTGAAGCATAGAGATTTTCCTATTCGAGATGACCAGGTTATTTCCTAGGCCTCGCTTGTCGATACGACACCGTCCATTTGAGGATTTGAGGAATTCACCCTCTCCTTTTTGGCTTGATATAGGCTTTTGAAGCGGCACGATGTTGCTAGTTGAGATAACCACGTTCCTTGGATATACTTATTTTGACTAGTTGTCATAAAGTTGTAAGTATGGTTCCTATTTTTAAGAGTTTTTTTGGGTATCTCCCAATACATAATTAACCAAAGAGACACATTCTTTTGGGAGTCGCACTTGTCCTCGAAACAAAATATAATTTTGATTACTTGATTATATGGGTTGCTTATGTTGGGGACTTCTTCGTAGATATATGTTTCGAGGTGTTTTGATCCAATCTTATTTTTGGGCATATACTCTTGACTTATTGCATAAGGATAACCTCATATAAGTTCTCCATGTTTTTTTAAACTTAATTTGTTTGTCTAATCTCATCTTAATTTCTTTCTTTTCGATCCCTCATCTTCTCTGAATCATCTTGATGGTTCAAGAAAGAGTG